AAGGGGAGGCCTGCGAGCGACAGAAAGAAGGCCGGCGCTCCTTGACCTCGACTACTTGGAAGAGCGAAGGCGGCGCGCGGCCCTCCGAGCCGCGCGCTACCAGCAGAGCCTGCGGCGCTACCATCAGCGCCACGTCCGGGCCCGATCACTCTGCGTCGACGACCTCGTCCTACGCCGCGTCCAAACGCGTGCTGGATTGAGCAAGCTCTCACCAATGTGGGAGGGTCCGTATCGAGTGATTGGCGTCCCCCGGCCGGGCTCCGTTCGGCTGGCCACGGGCGACGGCACAGAGCTGCCTAACCCGTGGAACATCGAACACCTTCGTCGCTTCTACCCCTAGTGGGGGTCGGGTGTCAGGTCTTGGGCTCGGGCCAACCCCGCACCCCCCCGGGCGTGCAGGGTTGGCCGGGGGCTTATCTTTTTTCTCTTCCGTATTTCAATAAAAGCATTTTCGATTTCCTAAGGACTGTGTCTGTGCCATTGTTTCCTTTTGAAGAATCTTGGCTTGAATTAGCACACTCGTGCTCGACCCTGTCCTCGGGGGCTCGGGTCGGCTAAAATCGCCAAACGGGGCCCAGAACCGAGCCGTGCCCCGGGGCGTGGTGAACTCCGGGGGGGAATTGGCAAAAACCCACAATCGGGTCACCCATAACCCTCGGTCACCACGCTCCCGGCCTGGCCAGTCTCGACATGTGGATCTCCCCAGGCACTAGCCCCGACCCGAGCCATTTGAGGACTAGGACCTGGGCACGAGCCCTTGTTCAAGCCAAGACACAGAAGGACCGCGGCACAGACCATCCTCGTCTCATACACACAACAAATAGAATTGACATAGAAATTTCCTCTTTATTTGGTTGCAGATTAAATTAGTCTATACAAGAAGGGGGCCCGAAGGCCTCGGAAGAAGAAAGAAAAAGCTATTCAAGATTGGCGGGGGCCTGGGGGCTCACTCCGACGCGCCCGGGTCACCAGCCTTGTCGTCGCTGTCGTCCGCACCACCGTCACCGCCCTCCTCGTCGGAGTCGAGGGCGAACGCGAGCCGAGGGGCCGTACCCTCGAAGCTGTGGACGATGTGGTCGGCGGCGTCCCGGACCTGCGCGCGTGCGCCGTCCTCGGTTCCGGAAGGGAACTCTTCCAGCGCTGCCCACGGGGAGAAGTCAGGGTCCGAGAGGCCCCCAAGCCGAACGGCGGCCCAAGGCCCCCGACGGCCGGAGTTGGCCCTCCGCCTGCTTGTCCGACGGTGTTAGGCGCCCCCGACCCTCAGGATAGCCTCGGGGCCACTACGGGAAGGCCGCGCCTGTCGCCCTCTGACCCCGAGGTTATCGGCACAGAAGCCGAGGGCGCCCCGCGCTGCCTCTCGGATGAAGAGCGCCCTGGAGATGCGGCCCCTAGCGAAGAGGATCGGCCCCGCCGAAAGGTGCAGCGGCCCGTCTACTTTGTTAGCGAGGCCCTCCGGGACGCCAAAACCCGATACCCTCAGGCCCAGAAGATGCTATACGCTATTCTGATGGCTCCGAGAAAAGCGCCATCACCATATCTCCAGGCAAAACGAACCGGCTCGTCCCGATTCGCGTGCTACTCGAGTAATGTGGCAGTCTTGAAGAGACCGCTCATTATTGGCAGCCGAGTAACCATTGCCGATGTGCGTGATTTGCGATCGTTGGGTTTCTGCCCAACTGTGGAGACCGGTCCCACCTGTCACCAGGCCTTAAGAAGTGGCGTCACGCCCGACCGCTTCCCTCGAGGAGGGCGATCGCCCTGGCATAACACCGGGGGCTACTGTCGGTGACATGGGACCGGGAGTATCATGACTAGAGGCTTGGGCAGGAGCAATCACCCACGAGGCCTGACCCCCTCGGGGGGGTCGGGCCCGAGGGTGATGTGGCCGCCCCCCTCTTTGTCTCCCTGAGGGGTCGGACCGCTCCCGTTTCGGCCCCGAGGGTTGAGGCGCCCCGACCCCTTGGGGGTTTTGCGCCGCGTGTCTGGGTTAGGCGAGCGCAGCGGGGCTCACCTAACCGCATTTATTGCGGTTTGGTCAAGCGCGTCACGCCGCATGTAACGCAGTGCAGCGCGCTCGTTTATCCGGTCTGTGACCAGTCACAGACCGATCAGATCGTGGATTAGGTGGCGACAGGCGGTCTGACACATGCCTCGCTCCATCCCGTCAAGATGAGAGCCTCCAAGCACTCGTCCCTAGCCGGAGCCGGCGTGTTACCTCCTGGAGATGGCACGTTGGTCCCGGTCAGATATATGCCAGGCTTCATCCTAACCATTACAAGCAAGATATTGTATGAAGAAGGGCGAACATGCAGATTGATAAACTGACGCGTGGTGGACAAGAATGACCGATTTGTGACCGGTCTGACACTGGTCATATCGTCAGCAGACAGCCATGTTCCCACGTCGCGCCTGCTTCCGGCGGAAGTGGAGGTAGGTATGGGCCGTCCCATTAGAAGGTCATTCAGACGGCAACCATACAAATCTCCGTCCATTTATGAAAAGATAGGATAAGTCCCCACACAAAAGAGAGAGATGGTGCATGTGGTATCCCCTTGAGATATAAAAGGAGGACCTTGCCCACTTAGAAAGGGAGGGAGGATCTGGAGAGTAGATCCCACGAGAGGAAAAAAGGGGAGAAGAGGGTTTCTAGAGTAAGAGCTCTCTGGCTCTCCAGCTCTTTGTAGCTTCTTCATACACAGATCCACCAGAACACAGGAGTAGGGTATTACGCTTCTCAGCGGCCCGAACCTGTATACATCGCCCGTGTCTTGTGCTTTTTCCATTCTCGCGAGCCTTCCACACACCGAGAGCTTAGAATCTCACCCAGGGCCCCCGGCCGAACCGGCAAAGGTGGGCCTGCGCGGTCTCCCGGTGAGGAGCCCTACGCTCCTCACCGGGATGGGCCAGGGCTGCGAGGACGACGGCCTGACGGAGACGGGATAAAATCTCGTGGAAACGGTCTAGCTCTACGCTGCTACCGGCCACTAGTACGTAGACGTGTGGGTGCAAGTGTGCAACGCGTACGCGCACGGCTCAGCGTACGCGGCCCCCATGGATGCATACGTACACAGTACACAGGCGTACATGTACAGGTTTGTGCTTTCGGTCGACGCATGCGTGGTTCCCCTGCACGGGACAAGGAGATGAGCAAAAGCGATTGATGCCAACTTTGGGGCAAAGGCCGGCGCGCGGGTTTTTGACGAATTCGGCTTCGCTGTGGCGGAAGTGGTTTTCACGGGCGAGGACCAACGGTTTGCTTTTGCACGGCATGGGGCGCTCGTCTTTGGGCTTATACTTTAAGTTACACGGTTGATGGGCTTCGGGGTGCAGGTTTTGCCGGTCGGTGAGATGATGGACCATGTGCTGACGTGCATGTATTTGGGCGGTTGGGCCGGCTAGGCTTCGGAAGAGGCGAAAAGCGGACCGGGATTGGCATAGCGGGTTTGGCGCGGTCAATTCCACACATGATTAGTAGGCACGCATGTGGTTCCCATCTTCTTTTTTCTTTTTTTGTGGGGGAAAGGAATCAATTACTCAAAAATAAAATCGACTTTTACAATCTGTGCTAACTCATCACAATTAGAATCTAACCAAGAATTCGAAAAAGCTTCATATCTAGCCTTATTAGCTAAAGAGTGGCTAACAAAGTTTTGACTTCAGTGATTTTCCCGAGCAAGATCTCCCTACTTCCATTCATGTGGTCACACACCTCTCTAACTAAGAAAGCCAATTCTGACAAATTCTTCTCTTTTGTTTGGATCAATTGCAGCGCTAGAAAGCAATCTGTTTCCAAAGCGATCGGGCATAGCTAGGGTCCATTGAAGCGCTAGAACAATCCCTTTTCTGATCGCCAACAATTCAGCTTCCAGTGCGTTGCAACACCTGTTCAGATAAGTGCAAGCAGCGGAAATAGGTTTCCCTGAACACCCCCTTTTTTGTGGCTAGCCTCAAAGGATCCATCAACATTGATCACTTTCATCCAAAGGATCCATCAATATTCACTTTCATCCATCCAATGTAAAGCTAGGATTTGGTAAATCTTTTTATCTCGACTAGTAAAAAATCTAACATATTTCCGTCGTCTCATATGACTTCATAGTTCCTCGCACGATATCAGTTACACCCCACACGTCTGACTGCACACGTTTGCGACATACCTTAGTACCTCAGAGAGCCCGACACTTTCTACTCTACTTAGTCTCTTTGCTCTTCAGTGGAGCACTTGACTCCGTTTGCATCATTGCATGGACTCCTACCGTGTAGGTTGTCACTGCATCACTATTTTCCCTTCCTTTTTCTTTTTGGAAAATTTTATTACATGACACCCAAAGTTTGTGTAATTTTCTATCAGACATAGAAAAGTGTGCTATGGCTGCATGATACCCTCAAATTTTGATAATTTCCTGAAGAACACTTTCGGCTCGATTGGAAAAATTCTTTAAATAGACTAGAATGCTTTTGGGGCCACAAGCTTCTAAGTTAGTGTTGGATTTTAAAAAATAAAAATTATGCAACTCTAAATCTTCCATCAGCCGAAGTATATTGCTAGCATATATCATATTCCATCAACACTCCAATTCTAGGTTAGAAGTTTTTGGCTATAGGGGTATTCTCGTTTTTAAAAATTCTCTTTGATTGGGTTAAAAGTGCCCTATAGCAAATTATGAGTTTTTTGGTGTCCTCCAACCGTGACACGCTTTTGCGATGTCTAGTAGAAAATTACACAAACTTTGAGTGTCATGTGACAAAATTTGACTTTCTTTTTCCCAATTCATGAGAAATATTAAAAGTCTATGATATGGTGTGTATGTGGTAGAAAAGTTTATAAGCGGTGAATTATTCCCCACGCTTGACATCCTTTGTTTCTGTTCACTAATATTTTCCATTGATTTATTGATTTTTCTGTTGCAACACACATGTCCTTTGCTAGTAAAGAAAAACCCCAGAGCCAAGAATACGAATATAAAGATAGGCAATTATCACAACAAAGAGAAACTAGGAGAGCAAACAAGACGATGCAGCCAATTGCCTTTGCCTTTACATCAAAATTTGCATCTGCATATGTATAATTATGGTGATTCACAGCCCCGACCCTGAAAGACTGACAAGCCATACATCCTGTACTTAAATAATTAAATATAATTTCTTTCAATTCCCAAGATACAGCAAGGCATATATGATACCATACGTGCTTCAACCTATGATACACTATAACATTTATGACACAATATAACAAACTTCTATTTAACGGCCTGATTCTAGACACTGAAGTTCACTATTGATGCTGAAATTTCCTGTATTCTCAACCGTTGAGTTGTTGATCTCGTAAGAAGAGTCCCCAAGTAAGCTCTCCATCTCTTCAGGATTTTGTTGTGCCCATGGATGTTGCATTACCTTCCTCAACCTATCGAGCTTGTCTGCAACTTCCTTCATCAACGGTCTATTCTCACCAGACATTTCCAAGCATTGCTTTGCTAACTCTGCAATCTCTTCAAGAAACTCCAAATTATCTCCCGTCATGATTTGATCATCTAAAATATCAGAAAGTCTTTTTTCCTTCATGGCTGATAGAAACCTCATGGCTAGGCTCCTCTCATCTTCAGGGCTTTCAAGGTTGAATGCTTTCTTTCTTGTGAGCAATTCTAGAATAACAACTCCAAAGCTATATACATCACTTTTATCTGTTAACTGGCATGTTTGCATGTACTCTGGATCGAGGTATCCACAAGTTCCTTGAACGAGAGTGACGAACTGCGACTCATCAGTTGGTGCTAGGATGGAAGCACCGAAGTCAGAAACTTTTGCTACATAATCTTTGTCTAAGAGGATATTTGAGGACTTGACATCGCCATGGAGGATCGGTGGTGATGCCCATGAGTGTAAATAGGCAAGAGCCTCTGCAGATTCATGTGCAATACGTAAGCGAGTATCCAAGGAGATGTGTTGATTGTGGTTCCCGTGGATGAGAGAGAACAATGTGCCATTTGGAATGAACTCATAGACAAGCATCGGAACTTCTACTTCGAGGCAGCAACCCAATAATTTGACAACGTTCCTATGGTTGGTTTGGGACAAGATTAGCATTTCCTTGCCGAATTCTTTCTTTTGTTTCATATCAATTGTGATGCATCTTTTGACGGCTATTTCCGTGTTTCCCTTGAGAAGTCCCTTGTAAACAGTTGCATTGCCTCCTTGGCCAAGGACTTGTTGTTTGTCAAACTTGTTTGTTGCTTGTTGCAATTCTTCTTCTGAGAAGATTTTGAATGAAATGCCTTGTTGAGATTTTATCTCTTCGAATAGCAACATACCACCATGTTGGCGGAAGTACCGCCTTTTGACATACTGTAGCTTTCTCTTCTCTCTGATGAAGCATGCATAAGTTACTATAATCACTAGTAATACGGCCCCAACACTTGCTCCTGCATATATAATAGAAAACTTTAGAATTGCTATGAAAAGATTATTGGAATGTGTAGTTGATCCCTTTATGCTAGCCCCAAGGAAGTCCCACATATGCCACATCGGCATTGGCAGAGGAAGATTCACTAAATTATTTTTTTCTTTAGCAACTTGAGGAGTTCGTGAGGATTTCATCATTAGTTGGAACATGAAATGTTCATGATCAAAAAATGTGTCCATTCTTCTTACTATAGAAAAATACACACCATGCATGCATGATTCATCAGTGGTTGCTGGTCTTGCTATGGTGTACAAATTAATATTAGGAATATCTAGAAAAGAGATATAGTTGCAAGAATGAATGTATACTAAATGCTAAAGTAAAAGGGTAGATAAATGAGGGCTAGCTTCAGAATGAAAAATACATTAATTATGCATACACACCTTATTGTTTAAACTTGAAAGCCAGAACGAATACCATTTTTAAACATATAACTATATATATAGTAGAGGCATTGTAAATTAGGATTATATTTTTCTATATCTGCATGAGGAAAACGATAGAGCTACTATATAGTAAATAACTAAATATAGCACAAATGTATAAGCAAAAACATAAATGTATATCGATCTCACATGCCATTTTAATTCTTATAGGAAGAGACGAACTCACCTATTACAAGATTTTTAGGAAAACCAGACTTCTGATTTGGAATGCAAATTCCATTCATCATATAGTTTCCAGGGTAGCATGAGCAGGTGAAATTCCCCAACGTATTCTTACATATTCCCGGACAAGGGTAAGTAGCATTGTCGAGGCACTCATTAATATCTGAAGCCAAACCATCAACACATTTGGTTAAAATTGTTGCATTATCTTATACATTTGTAACAAAGATAGGCAGCAGGCATAAGAAGGTGTGTATGACTATACCTTTGCATCCATCCTTGACGTATGGATTGCCTTCATATCCATCAGAGCACTTGCAGCGGTAACCTCCCTTTGGATCATCAACACAACGACTTTTTCCACTAATGCATGCATATGAAGTAGTGTTTCTTTTGACTCGATCACATGAATCCATTGTTATGATCCAATCTAGGGAAACCTTAGCTAACCCATTGTATGTGTCATAGAATGTAGTGGAGTTGAAATAATTTTTGTTGAAGTTGAAGGTTGTGGTTTCCATCACTGTTATGAAGCTGCAAGGACTGCTGTTATTATTTCTTTTACTGAAATAAGTACTATAGTACCATGTGCCATTGGGGAAATCAAGTTTGCAGCAACCCGCTTCACCGGAACATATACCGTCCTTGGGGTCGTTTCTGCATGAGGGCACACAACCTGTTAAAACCTGCACATGTTACGTATTATATATACACCTTAATACAAGATTTGACAATGATCCAAATAATTCCCCCCCACACACACATCCTATTTGGGAATTGACACGATTTTCAAGCACACCCTTTAATTTTGAGAAAGGCCGTGTTTAGATTCATTTTTTTTTTGCCAAAAACGTCGCATCGAATGTTTGGACACATGTTAGAGCATTAAATGTGGACGAAAAAAAACCAATTTTATAGTTTGCATGTAAATTGCGAGATGAATCATTTGAGCCTAATTACACCATTATTTGACAATATGATGCTACAATAAACATTTGCTAATGACGGATTAATTAGTCCTAATAAATTTGTCTCGCAGTTTACAGACGGAATGTATAATTTGTTTTGCTATTAGTTTATGTTTAATACTTTAAATGTGTGCTGTATACTTAAAAAAAAATTGGCCAAGGAACTAAACACACCAAGAGTATGTTTGTATTCACAATTTCATATACTCCATCAAAAGTATCAAAAGGCTCTGAATTGTAGGTAGGCACATGTATTTCCATTGAACGAATATGCTCATATGTACTCCTTACTCCTAATGTCGATGGACACTAATATGAAATGTAGGATTTAAACATTGATAGGCTTACAATCACACCACCCAGCCATTTGGCCACATGCCAACTTCCAACCACTACAAAATTATATATACTTATGCTCTGAATTTCTCATATATACACACTACCTCCAATTCACAAGTAAGTGTTGTTTTGGATACCTACACAATCACCAATACATCACTTTGATTATTAATTACTAATATTAAAATGTACACAAAATATAGCACATTTATAATATTTTGAAAGTACTTTTAAAGGAAAATATTGTCATATCGTTTTCAAAAGTCAACTTGAAATAGCAGCGGTCAAATTTTCCACACGCATTCCACATGCATGTGAAAGGGAGAAACTAATAATATTCTCACATGACAAATCCTAAGTCGTCCTTGATATATAAAGGAATAATAATTTAGACTATCATGTATTTTAAAGGCCATATATTATGAACACATTTGAGTATTTGTGATCTAATGCAACCAGATTGACGAATTATGGGCATATACTTACATTATTGATCTGCATATACGAAAACGTTTCGCACCCGATGACGATGATCTTGTTATCCCTGTCCGATATCCAGAAAGGCGAGCGGCTGAAGCTCACAGATGTTGTGTTGGTGTTGTCCTCCCTGGTGCCCGTCGACTGGTTGTAGCAGTTCTTGGATATGTTCATCTTCATCCAGGCCTTGCCGTCTTCCATGGAGATCTTGGTCACCTCCATACCCCTGAAGAAAGGCTTGCTGGTGCCGTCAACGGGCTTGCAGTCGAACTTGAACGGGTAGTTTGTGTAAGGCGCCTCGAGCCCGCAGTGCTCGCCGATGCCGAACGGGAACGGGATGTCCACGGCGCCGCACTTGGTCGGGCAGCCCGGCTTCGAGACGGCCGCCACCGGCGCCGGCACGTTGCCGGCTGCGGCCGGCGGCGCCGAGACGGCAAGGCAGAGCAGCAGCAGCGACGAGTACTGCAGAAGAAGCGGCGGGCGGCTGGCCATTAGCGGCCTGATGGCGATGGCGATGGCTCTGGCTGCTCCGGCGAAAGATGTACACAAAGAGCAAGCAAGTGAAAGGACTTATGTGATATTCTAATGACAAATTAAGAACTTGTGTGTCAGTCCAAGGCATATGATGCCGTAGCTTTATATTAAAATGGGTTGCTTGGTTGGGTGCATGCACTGGCCTAAATAAGACTCTCTCTGCTTATGTTGGATGCATGCATGTTGTTATTGAAATGACACCAGGGAGGCTTCGCAGAACCGGTCGTTTGATACTTTGATGTATAGTGACAGGTCTATGGTAATTGGAAGGGCAAATTTTACGATACTTGAAAAAGTATCGACGTATGAATTTTGGTATCTCGAAGTGATGTACTTAAATATCTGGAGCAGGGTATAACGGTTTGTTTTCTCTATTTCTATAAGTACTGATATAGCTGAAATTTCGGTTCAAAATTATTTGTAATGTTGAACAAAATTTGATTAAATAGGAACATTTTTTTTCTAAATACGCGAAAAAATCACCCGCAATCATCTCGTTTTTTTGGGTGTGTTTTGGGGGAGGGGGGGGGGGCTCGATGGACCCGAAATGTTAGAAATTTCAGTTCCAAATTTTAAATCTTAATCTATAATGCTAATTTTTTTTAAAAAAAATATGTAACTTTTCGGTAAATTTTTAAAAAGGTAAAGTTACTTAGTTGGAAGAGCTTTGTATGCTTAACACTATCAAAGACAGTGCATGACTTGATACAGGTGCTCGTAGTTACGACTAATTATTATTTTAGTTATAGACGATGTACCTATCGACAACGAGATGTCCGTAGTGATGACTTCATTATTCTCAAGATATACTGATCTAGTCTTTAGAAAATGTTTATAGGGATAGGATGTGTGTATTTATGTTTACAAGGGTGAGTATATGTATGAGGACCTGCGTTTGTACTGACTTTCTTTAGGAAAAAAAAAGACATTGCGTATGACATCGACACGCTGCACAAAATTCCGCGCGCTATACTGCTAGCCGGTGGTGCTACTGATCGGCTACGTGCAGAATTGATGTACCTTTATTTTTTCACATTTTTGAAGAGAAACGCATTAATGTCTGATCAAATATACGTGTCATTTTGATGCAAGTGGATACCTAGTCCATTACAGGTCGTGTTTAGTTCGTGTGTTAATTTTTTCTAAATATACGGACGCACATTTGAAATATTAAATATAGGCTAATAACAAAACAAATTACAGATTCTGCTTGTAAACTACTTTCTCCGGGTTGATAATACTTATTGTTTTGGACAAGAGCACGGTCTCCAAAAAATAACTTTGACCATTATTTTCTATTATAATATGTATAAAAATGTTAACAAATATATGATTTTATTAAAGTACTTTTTAAGACTAATCTATACATGTAGTCACCATATTTAAAAGACAAATATTTTAAAAATAATTGATAATTAAAGATTCTAAAGTTTGACTTCACCCTTGTCTAAAATAACAAGTATTATCAGCCCGAAGGGAGTACGAGACGAATTTATTAAGCCTAATTAATCCGTCAGCATCACATTGTCAAATCACGGCGTAATTAGGCTCAAAATATTTGTCTCGCAATTTTACATGCAAATTGTGCAATTGGTTTTTTTCGTCCACATTTAATGCTCCATACATATGTCCAAACATTTGATGTGACAAAATTTTTGAAAGTTTGAAGGGAACTAAACACTGCCATAGTTCAAAGTGCTATGATTAGATAGGGTCCCTGTGCACACTAGCTTGAAAAACCGTCGGAGTGAATTATGCTGTGTGAAATTCATATGTCCAATTTACTCTTTGGAAAGGTTAGTGTGAGAATCCTTGAGTCTGTTTGGCAAAGTTCCAGCTCCAACGCCAGTTTTACCTTTTCTGGAGCTAGAGCTTAGCCAAACAATTTCGGCTACCTAGAATAGGAGTGGAGCTACGTGGAGCTTTCTCACAAAATAAAAGAGGTGGAGCTGGGTTTAGGCAACTGTAATAGAGAGTTGGAGCTGGGTTTAGGTAGCTTCACAACTTCACTACAGACCCAACTCCTGAAGTTAAATTTAGGAGTTATAACTTTACCAAATAGGCACCTAGTTATTTGTGCTTCTGGTCGATCCATGCTTGATGCTTTAGTTTGGCAAGTTGATGCAATGGTTTCTAAAGCCACACGCTTCAGACCTAAATTTGGATTTGACGGGAGTGCATAGATTGGGGTAGGAGAAAATTAATAAAAAAAACTAATATTTCTCAGTAACGAGAAACTGCAATATAATGTTTCACATTCCATGAAATTATTAGTTGTCGCGTACGAAATGGGGGAAACTTGTAGATTTTCCGGTAATTAAGCCGATATTTAATGACTAGTGAGCCCTCAAAGGAAGACTATGTCAATATGCATGTGCACTTAACTCACGAAAACGACCTTACTACCTGATGGTAATGGGTCCTTTGTTTTGTTAATACCACGGTCTAGAAGATCTTGGCTTCAACTTGGGTATGTACATGAACTAGCTAGCCGGTGTCGGTCGCATATTCATCGACCATTGCATGTTACCACAATAGGCACACACATATGAAATCTTCAAATTGCTACTAGCGCTGGCTGGTTGGTAGTGATGTAAGTGGACTGAGCTGCAAATCACTTATAGATCAAATAAGTATAGGTCTGGTTACCGTACCTAGGAATACAAATGAGTTATCACGTGAACTCACTTGTAGACTAAATTATTGGGTAATCCACCGGTCAATTTGTGAGTTACCCACTAATTTTGTTTATGAGTGGATTCATGGATCGATCTATTTGCATCCCTACTGATTAGAACTCCTTATCTCTGGCGTGTAAAGCAAAACACGCATAGCACATAATTAATTAAGCATTAGCTTAAAAATACTTTTAAAAACGGATTAACATGGTTTTTAAAGTAATTTTTTATAGATTTTTTTTAAAAAAAAGCGTATTATTTAGCCGTTTGAAAAGTATGCACGTGGAAAATAAAAAAATATGAGCCTGGGAACAAGTCGTCGCTGATGCTAATTTGAATTTCTATATTGTCGCAATCATCGATCTGCTTGCCCTCCAAAGCCAGCTTACACACAACACAGCAATGAAAATGGCACGGCGTACATCTTGAGGACGATAAGGCATGCAGGTCCTTTCTCCAGGAAACAAACCATAATTAATTAAGTATCACAAAGCAATCATGGTAAAAGTGTTACGAGGGGATTTATCCGGTAAAAATAATCAAATAAGTGAAAATCCATAAAAACCAAACTTAAAAGTTTTATAAATTCATAAAAAAATTTTCTAGAGTGCATGCATGAAATACATTATTATCAAATATCAAGTTCAATTCACCTTATTATGGAGTAATAAAAAGATAAATTTCTAGGTGAATACTAACGTAATATTCCCTTCATCCATAATATAAGGCATGGTAAAAGTTGACACGGTCTCCAAAATTAATCTTTAGATTATAATTTCTCATATACTATAAGATTTGTAGCAACAAAAGTATAATCATATGAAAGTAAATTTAAATGTCAATCTAATGATATAACTTTTAACAAATAAAATTCATTTCATATTATACTAAATGTTGGTCAAATATTTTAAATGTTAAATCTTAAAATACGTGCGCGCCTTATATTATGGAATAGAGGGAGTACTACTTACCTGAAATTTGTCTTTTCTTTTTCTCTCTAAAAGGAAGGAAGTTGAGTTTGGAGTTAAGATCTGGTATGAATACATTTTATGACTATACCTGATAGTATTGTTTTTATAAATTTAGAAATCTTTTAGGCATTGTTTTTATGAATTTTCACTGGCACGATGGTTTTCACCGGATATTCTCCCTCGTCATGAGGAAAAAGTTCACTTTGGCTCCCTCGAATATAGGTCAAAACAAGAGTGCATCCCTCAACCGTAAAATTAGATATAACAGCTCCTTCAACTATTAAAATCAGAACAAAATGACTCCAAAGACAACGTTGAAAGTGGTTTTTACTTAGGTGGCCGCCTATAGTCAATAAAGTAAAAAAAATATTCATGTGATCCACATGTCGGCGACTTGGCGTCCTTTCTTTTTCTTCACTCTCTTCTTTTCCCAGCCATATCGGCAATACGGCCCTCCGCGACGACGGCGCCCTACGCTCACTCAATCCGCCTTCTCCCCCTTCTCTGGCATCGACAAGGACGGTGATGGCGCTGGCTACAGCTAGCCACAGTTCGCGACGCTGCAGTCCCACACTCGCATCCCTTGGGGCGTTGGATTGACGTCGTGGTCCCAGACTTTGCACACAACCGGCCGGCAAAGGAGGGGAAGGGGAGAGGGAAGGTGGTGAGGAGGAGGGTGTAGGAGAGGGTGGAGCCGATGGAGAGCGGGAGCAACCAACGGTGATCGACGGCAGCGGCGGTAGGGGAGAGGGCGGTGCCGGTGGTGGGCTTTCATCTCATTTCATCTCGTGGGCCTTGCGGTAGCTCTCTACTATTGGAAAGTAATGTGTGTACTTTTCTTCATCAGTAGTACAGGTGGTGTGGATGAACTGAAGCAACTAAAGTCATAAACACCTTGACCAACCAACCAAACCAAACAAAATTTTATGGCATCATATGATTGAAAGCTTGTATTACCTAAAGCAAGCACAAGTGCACGTAGGGTGTCGACGATGCCCATCACCTCAAATGGCCCTGGAGATGCCGGAGAATAGCTGTTAGGTACTGCGCTGCCGGCGCTACAACGGCCTCGCACATATGCTGCCACGAGTGCCGCTACAAGTGCAAGGCCATCTGCACCGCCTTACACCACATCCAAGTCCAGGGCCATCAGGATGTGGGCAAGGCTAGGTGGATAACAATCACCCTGCCTTCCGTGACGGCAACGTCGCAGAGGGCAGCATCGCGAAGGTCTGCTAGCCGCAGCCTACCACCACTACTACACATAAGATTTTTCTAGACAGGGACCTCCCATTTTCTCGTGCGGAGCTTTTTCATGTGCGTCTGTAAAAATCACTCCTATTTTCACGTGCGGGCCTCCTATTTTTACCTGCGGATCCTTAAGAGGCCGCACGCGAAAATCGATTTTGGCAGGCGGCCCTCTTAACATGCCCGCACGGAAAAATACACAATTTTCACATGTGGGCCTCCTAATCCACCCGCACAGGAAAATATCCATTCCCTCTCAACCTATTCAAAAAATTTCAAATTTCCTTCTCTCTCTCTCTCCCCTCCGCCCCTCTCTCCTCTCTGTCCCCCTTTAATTATCTTCTCCTCACTATCCCCTCTCTCTCTCTCCCCCGGCCCCCTTCTCTCCTCTCTCTCGCGCCTTCTCCTTCTCCTTCTCCTTCTCCTTCGGTGCGACAGGAGTGGCAGGCTCGGCGGCGGGAGACCGCCCCCCGCCCGGATCCGCGAGCTCGGGCGGCGGCCGGGTGCAGCGACGGGTGTTTCTAGGGTTAAGGTTAGGTTTTTTTTTTGATTTTTTTCTATTTTTTGTTTGGCTTTTTTTTTTGGTTGCGTGCGGGCGGTATAATTTGACCGCATGGGATAATCAATTATCCCGTGCGGTCCACTTAACCCAACCGCACGGGTGCGGTTGGGTGCAGACACTTGGCTACAGATGGACAAAAGCTCTGCACGGAGAAATCCTTCTTGTAGTAGTGCACGGCACCACCGCCTCTACCGATGCTGAAGAAGGGGGAGAAGGCGGATCGAGCGAGTGCAGGGCACCGTTGTTGTGGAGGGTTGTATTGCTGACGTGGTCGAAAAAAAAGAGAGGGGAGAAAAAGAAAGGACACCGACATGTGGGCCCCACATTTATTTTTTAGTTTATTTAGTGACTAAGCTGCCACGTGGATGCCACGTCAGCGAAAACCACCTTCAATACTATCTTAGGAGTCATTTTGTCCCAGTTTTAATAGTTGAAGGAGTCTTTGTACCCGGTCTTACGGTTGAGGGATGCACTTTAGATTCGACCTATATCTGAGGGACTCAAACTGGACTTTTTGCCTCGTCATCAACAGCTCTGCTGATGTACGGGCCAGTTATCCGTTATCCACCACGAGGCCCAATTCGAACTACAGAACCATGTAAAACCCAATTACCGAAACAAAAGTCCTATTGGGCTACCAGTGCCACCAATCTGAATTTTGGAGCCCATCAACACTGGCCTCTTTTTCACCTCGCAGCCTCGCACCGCAAGCCCAAGCAGCCGCAGGTTTCTTCCCCTCATCATCAATCGATGCGGCGGCCGAGAGACGGGCGGACCGGCGGTAGGAAGGGCGGCGCCGCCACCACCGCATCAAGCAGGCGCGGAAGAACGCCTAGATCCCGTCCTCCGGTAATCTCCTGCCGCCACCGCCTGATGCAGCATCCCGAGGTCCAATGCTCCCATCCCAACCCTCGTGTGCATAACTGCATACTGGTTGGAGTACCAACCCTTTTTTTAGTTGTTGGTTAGAGTATAGATTTATAGTTCTGGTTTAAATTAAGCGTTTTAATATTTCTCTAAAAAGTCTATGTTAATTGGAGTAGGATAACAATCGGTTTGTTCAGAAACTGCCTTCAGATTAATCCTTTTTTTTATATAATTTAAGATGCTGATTTATATTTATGTATACTTCTTACAGGAGCAGACAACGATTCTCAAGGAAGGGTGGGACAAATAGTTTGATTTCAGGAGTATATGCTCCCAATACGGATGCCATTACCAGCCACTGTAGGACTGATGCCATTGTGAGGTAATGTTGTTTTGCTATGAAACAATTTACATACACATAGTTGCTCTATTTTTTTTCTTTGGTTCAATTGGTCTGATGGAGATTGACCTATGGGTAATAAAACTATTTTTTTTTCAATTGGTCTGATGGAGATTGACCTATGGGTAATAGAATGTTTAAGCGGTTGGCTTACAAGCAAAGTATATTATGCCACTCTCTTGATTATTGGAGTATGCAAGATTATAATGAACGGTAGTTTCTTATGAGGAGATCTAATTATAGTATGTCGGCAGGCCTTGGTGTTCAATATATGTGCAGGTGAATGGTTACTGATAAGCTATTTCTGAGAATAAATAAACTTGCAAAGCATATGGATCCTAACCTCTTGAAAAGTACATGTTGTCGTGATTTGTTAGCAGTATGAGAATTGATCAAACTATAAAAAGAAAATGTGTGTCAAATATCAAATCAATTACTATTGTACATAGATTTTTGAAAGGTAAAGCTACAATAGCAATTGAAACAACAACCTCACCTTTGGATCTTAACAATGATGCAACCTTGAGCTACACATATAAAACATGTATGAATCATTCCATATATGATGACGATTACCTATACATGTAATACTTTTGGAGTATACCTATATAATTTCCTGGGATATGATATACAACAAGGTTATTAGCGATTATCTTCCTGATTCTAGGCCTATTAAAGATTTCTTCTCAATGCTGAAATTTCCCGTACTGACAACCTCCGAGCTAACAATTGATGACTCTCCTAGTAAGCTCTCCGCCTCTTCAAGATTGTGCAGTGCCCAAGGATGGTGCAAAACCTTTCTCAAGCTATCAAGCTTTTCTGCAACTTCCTTCATTGATGGCCTATTCTCACCACACATTTCCAAGCATCGTCTGGCCAACTCAGCAATCTCTTCAAGAATCTCCATATTCTCCTCGCTCTTAATTTGATCATCCAAGATTTCCTCAAGCTTGTTCTCCTTGACAGCAGAAAGGAACCTCACAGATAGGCTTTTCTCATCCTCTAGCCCGTCAAAATTTAATGGTTTCTTTCTCGTGAGTAGCTCTAGGACAACAACCCCAAAACTGTATACATCACTCTTATCCGTTAATTTCCATGTTTGCATGTACTCTGGGTCAAGGTACCCACGAGTTCCCTGCACAAACGTGACGAACTGTGCATCATCGGTTGGCGATAAGATGGAGGCTCCAAAGTCAGAGACCTTCGCTGTGAAGTCACCATCAAGGAGAATGTTGGATGACTTGACGTCCCCGTGGAGGATTGGAGGCGATGCCCATGAGTGAAGGTAGGCCAATGCTTCAGCAGACTGGTGAGCAATCTGTAAACGCGTGGATATAGAGATGTGCCTGCCGTGGCCATCATGAATGAGATGGAACAGTGTGCCATTTGCGATAAACTCATACACCAATATTGGGACTTCCACTTCAAGGCAACAACCTAATAGTTTGACAATATTTTTGTGGTTGACTTGGGATAAGATTACCATTTCTTTACCAAATTCTTTCTTTTGTTGCTCATCGATTGTCTTGCATCTTTTGATTGCTACTTCAGTGTTGCCGTTTAGAAATCCCTTGTAAACGGTGCCATGTCCTCCATGACCTAGGATTTTCTTTTCATCGAAATTATTAGTGGCTTTCTGCAATTCTTCTTCCGTAAAGATTTTAAATGCAGTACCCTTCATCTCCTCAAATAGCAGTCGACCTCCATGCTGTCGAAAGTACTTCTGTTTTATGCTGTGTAGCTTATTTCTTTCTTGGATGAGATATGCACACGTCACAATAGTCACAAGGGTGACAACTCCAATACTTCCACCTGCATGGTTTCCAAAGTGATGTTACTCCAAAATGATGATTTGAAAGCATTTCCGGGGTTTTCAACCTTAAATTTTAATGAACATGAATAATATGATTGATTCCTACTATATGTTCAGATTGGTTTTACTGTAATGCGCTATTATGTTCAAGATTGGTGTCAATGTACAATTTCTCCTTTTTTTTTGAGACGCTGAAGAGTGTAACGGACCTATGACAGGTATAATCCAAGAAGAGGAACTCTGCTTGCAAACACCGTCAATCAGATGTTTTCCTCGTTGACATGTACATGTGTAGCTCCCCTGCGTATTTATGCAAATTCCCGTGCATGGATGAGCATCTTGGCACTCGTCGATATCTGCCAAAAAAAGACTTAAAAATATAATACTTTTTCTACATCTCTTAATTTGCAGGGGTAGAGGAATCAAAATGGCCGGAAAGGGACCTTCGCATCCATCCGTGATGTATGGGTTGCCCTTGTATCCATCAGAGCACTTGCAACGATAACCGCGACCATTGGTGGCATCGACACAGTAACTGTTGCTACTAACACAAGCGTAGGAAGTTCTGTTCTCTTTTGCTTCCTCGCATTTTTTCCATTCAACTGTCCAATCCAAGACAGTGGGAACCATCCCCTTGTACGTATCACTGAATACTGTGGAGTCGACATAAGTGGTACTAAAGTTGAATGCTGAAGTTTCCATGACTACCATGTAGTTGCAAGGGCTGCTCCTCCATATTGCAGTGGTGTTGTAGTTTGCATTGAAATAACCTTGGTAATACCGTATGCCTTTCGGGATATCTGCCTGGCAGCAGCCAGCACCAGAGCATGAGCCATTCTTAAGGTCTACGTTGTCGCATGTTGATGAGCAACCGATTACGTACTGCATGGATTGGCGGGTTATAAACTGCAAATAACAGCACGACCCCATGAGAGTTTGCAATTATATTTGTTAAAACAAGTGCTGCAAAACAGATAGCTTTCTTAACATAGTAGAACTAGGATTAGTGTCTTCAACATAGAGTTCATTTGTGATTCATATGGAAATGGGCTCTAAGCCCTCTTTGGTTGTGGGCCTGTTCGGCAGCTGCACCTTGCAGCCGAACATGCCCTGTAGTGATATAGTTGGCCGCACACAAAATCCACCCAATCAAGTTCTTTTTATTTTTTTTGGGAGGGGGAATTTCGACTTATATGTATGTTATGACAAGTCGAACTAGTTTTCACATGTCAAACATGTCTCATTTGAAAAATTAAGATATGCAAAGTTTTTTACAGAAAAAAATTGAATCCTAATTTTACCTACATTACCCTTACCCTTTGAAACAAGGATAAATGATTGCACATTTTTTGAATCAAACGTCAAAAAACACATAAATATCCAATTTAGTTCCAGTCAAAAAAAAAACATGCATCGACAATTAGAAATGACCCATCAATATAACATAATGATTATATTAAGAATTAGTATAAGACCTTACATGAGAAGTCAGAAATTATGAGATGCAACTAGTGAACTAGAATCTATAGAAGTTGGCTTTCTCAACTTCTGACAAATAGTTTATTGAGTGAATTGCACTTTGGCCTAGTTGAGTGAATTGCACTTTGGCCCGGTTATTATTGCCTGTGTTTTATTTTGGACTAGGTTATATCTAACGTTTTCACTTTGGTCCAGGTTTTCTTACCTTCTATTGCACATTGGACCACTTTTTTGTTTGCCACTCCTTGATTTCATTAGCGAGCTTACCCGCAACACAATAAACCAATCAATATTCCACCTGACCTTGATTTCTTTACTCATTGATTTAGCTGCTTGATTTCTACCATTTTTCCCTTAATTTATCATGTGAGCTTAGAACAAGTCACTGTATTGAGCTTGCAAGCGACAGCTACAGCAGCCAGCTACCACCAGTCTTGATTTTGCTGGTTCCTCAAGCTCGGAACAGAGCAGAGAGAGAAGGAATCCTGGTACTTTGCTTGATCATCCCTCAGATTCCATAGCGCGGCTGCTTAATAGAGAAAAGGAGGGAAGATTGATGGAGAAGAAGGGTGGTCCAATTTAAAACTTTTGTAAATTTATCTAGTCCAAAGTGATAAGATAACTTTATCCCTCGTCCAAAGTGAAACTTTGGTAAAAATTCCTAGCCCAAAGTGTAATTAACTCTACTTTATTTTATGGATTCTATAACTTTTGAGTGGCTGAGAAACACCAAGTACAGTGGGCTAGCTTGAATGAGGTAAAGATGCTCTGTTTTCGGAATTGGGGTTGTGAGGTCATGATTTGCGATTAAAAAGAATATCAACCTTTCCTATTCCTTAAGAAACTGATAATGTATAAAATATGCAAAAATTACTTACCGAGGTACTGCGCATGTAAGCTAGTGAGTTGCAACCAACAACGATAAGTTTGTTGTCCTCGTTTGACAGCCAGTAAGGTGAATATCTGAAACTGTTCCATATGTCATCGTACAAGGTTCTGTTTGTTTCTGGGTCGAAGCACTGGGAGGATATGTTCGTCTTCATCCATGCTTTTCCGTTGGGCACGGAGATGTTGGTCACCTCGATATTGTGAAACATAGGCCTCGCGGCGCCGTTCACGGACGTGCAGTTCAGCTGGAAGCCCCTGCTGTAGGCGCAGTCTGGCCTGTCTGGGTCGATGATGCCGAAAGGGTAGGGGATGTCGACGTCGCCGCACCTTGTCCGGCAGCCCGGAGGCTGGCCACCGGCCGGAATTGCGACGTCGGCCGCGGCAAGCGTAGCGATGGCGCCAAGGTAGAGAAGAAGGCATCCGGGAAGAAGAAGAAGCTGATGACGCTCCATATGCTGCACTTGCTTGTCCGTACTCCTTAGGTAGCCGGTTTGTTGTGCGTTTTGGTTGGTGTGCTTGGGAATTTCGGCAGCGGCCTCCTTAAATATGATGGGTAGGATATGCTTGTGGCGATGGAAAAAGAATTCAGAGGGGGATAAACTTGTCTCGCTCGTGAGATTCTAGACTAAGTCCCATTTTAAGTGTAAGTATAATTTTCTGCGTCCAATTTTAATCGTTCGTCTTATTTAAAAAAAACTTTTGAAAAAAAAAATTAAAAACATAAGTTACGAGTAAAGTATTATTCCTATTTTATCATCTCATAATAACAAAATTACTAATTATAAAAAAATTTTAAATAAGACAGATGATCAAAATTGGGCAAAAAAAAACTCATTATTATACACATGAACTTAAAATGAGACAGAAGGAGTAATAAAGATCTCGAAAAATGTATATTTGATCATAAATATATTCCAAGAATTATGGACGACGACTTACTCCCGGGTCTTCACGTCGAAAAGAAAGAGTGCATATATTTTTATTTTTCAAAATGTTTTTCCTCCATCGTAATCGATCCTCCAGCTCTACTAACTACACATAACAACGGAAGACTTCGAACGACTGACGTGACTTAAGCGCGTAGGCCATGCGTGATAGCAGCATTGAGTGACAACCGCTTCATCTCCCCTGTTGTCATCCATGTTAATTCTATCCTGCCACTGTAGCGAGAGGTCTTTACCTATGTGCTATTAAAAAAAAAATGATGCCTGCCTCTGTGTCACTAAAAAGTTCAAGTCTCCCTCTATGCCATCGTCGAACTTTATCGCGCCCTCCACATCATTCCATCTGTTTTTTTTCTAACAGTGGGTAACGGCGCAGCCAAATGAGTTTGTTGCCCATGGGGTTGCTTGGCGACCTCACCTGGCGCGTGGCGCAGCCGATCGACCAGGCCGCGATGGCCGGGTACGACGCCCTCGTCGCCGACGTCGAGGCGTCTCTTGCCCGCGCCTTCCGGATGCTGCTCGAGGCCGTCGACCGCAAGATCGACGGCGAGGTCGGCGCCACCCACGGGGAGCTCGCCGCGCTACTGGAGGAGAGCTGGAGCTTGAGGGCCAGCTCAAGCGGCTCGACGCCAGGGCCGATGAGCTGAGCGATGCGCGCCGGATCCCGTCCGCGCCACGCCTGTCCTCCACCGCTGCCGCCCGCGCCGACTCCGCGGCGAGCGCGAACATCGCCACCGCCCGCTCGATCGCCAGCGCCGCGCCTGTCCTCCACCGCGCCCGCAGCCAAATCGGCCCGCGTGAGTGCTGCCGCTGCGCACGGCCAGGCCGACTCCGCGGCGAGCTCCACCTCCACGGCCACGTCGCCCTGCACGACAGCCTTCTCTTCCACCGGCGCCGCCGTCCACCGAGCCGAGGCAGCGACACCGCCGGCTGCCTCCCCATCCGGCGCCAGACCGCCTCCTGCCTGGCGCTCCGTCGACGGTGCTCCCCGGCCGTCTCCTCCTCCATTTTGCCGAAGGGCCACCACGGCCGTCGGACCCGCATCGCCCTCCCTCACCTTGACCCACGCTGCTGCAACCGTGCCGCCGCGCCAAGCACCAGGCGCCGCCGTGCCCGGCCGTCGCCGCGCCACCGCGCGCTGGCTGCCGCTGCTTGTGTGCGCTCGCGCGTGGGAGAAAGGGGGAAGGAGTGAGAGGAAGAAACCGGAGGAATCGACCACCACCACCCCTCTCCGACGACGACACCACTGAGAGACGCATGTATGCCTCCCTGTCCTCCTCCAGGCTGCCGCCGCGCCGCCGCACTCAACCGCCCCCCCCCCCCCCTCTCTCTCTCTCTCTCTCTCGCACTCAAAAGAAGAAAGGGCAATAGAGACATTTTTTTCCGCCCGGCCTACATGTCAGAGCTGCCAAACAGTTAAACCAAAACAGAATAGCGACGGAATGGTGTGGAGGGCGTAATAAAGTTCGACGATGACATAGAGGGAGGCTCGAACTTTTTATTGGTAGATAGACATGCTCCATCTTTTTTAATGGCACATAGGGAAAAACCTCCGCAGGCGAACTACTGTGAGCTAGCCTAGCTACTGGTCTCAGCAGTGTGTACAACAGTACAAGGAAATTTACAGCGACCTGATAAGTGAATAAACTTGATCCGTTCAATTTGTGTGGCCGATAGTCTAACTGTACCAATCGGCCACTGTTCACATCACAATGGCCCTGCTTTAATCCAAGAAAAAATTTGAGTAAAAACAGGCCGCGTTCACCTGAGAAAACCTGGCCTCGTCCATATCACACAATTTCTCGGCAACCAGAACTGTCACAAGGTCGGTCTTTTCTAGTGACAGTTCTGGTTCTCTTCGCTCCGCTCAGTATCATGGAAGACTCGACTGTTTCACAGCCCACAGGGTCCTGTGACTTCGAACGGTGAATTCCGCGTGATGCTCTGTTGCGTGCAAGACTACAAATGTACATTTTCCATTGCGAGCTTTAGCTCTATTATTTTCGGTTAAGATTCAGATTTTACTTCGATTGCATACTAAAGTTACTAAACGGTGTATTCTCTGCCTTTCTGTTTAGAAGGTACTTTAAAATATCAAATATATTTATCAAGTTTGTAATAATTAAAACTTAGTTAATGACTTTCTCGTTTCGTGCGTGTCAACTTAATTTTTATTTTCATCCGCTTCAAACACAGCTTTTATAATTAAAACACAGCATTGACAACTTAATTTTTAGAGATGGAATTGCTGAAAAATGTCCGGACCAAACGCAGCTTTTGTCAATGCGCAACCGAGTACGATGAGACAACATTTTTTGGGTTTAGAAGTTGGTTAGGATAGGTTGCAAGATGCATGGGTCAGCATATCTTGCAAGGTTTGGTCAAGAAAATGCTGAAACCAAGTGTACCATAGGCAATTACCACACGGTAGACAGAATCACATATAAATCAGTGGGGAAAATAGTACAGCGATAGAAAATTAACTTGACTTCGTATGATTTGCTTCTTATTCTCATATATGATGAAACATAGTCCCATAAAGACTAAAGGTGTACACAAACAATATTTTTTTATTTTTACACAAAATTTTTTTAATAATGAACATAACTGAGTCTGAATTTCTAGGGTAAGTGAAAACTATGATACAATATGACGCGGTATGATATGGTGATATGATGTATGCTGGGTAGCAAAGAGATTCCAGCTTAACGCCCTGATGCTAGGTCCTTGACAACTTTCTTCTCGATGCTGAAATTTCCTGTACTCGAGGCTCCTGAGCTTATAATGTAAGAAGATTCTCCAAGCAAGCTCTCCAACTCTTCAGGATTTTGTTGCGTCCATGGGTGTTGCATTACCTTAACCAGCCTATCGAGCTTCTCCGCAACTTTCTTCATGGATGGTCTATCCTCACCACACATTGCCAAGCATTGCTTTGCTAAATCTACAACTTCTTCGAGAAACTCCATGTTCTCTTCATTGCTAATTTGATCGTCCAATATATTCTCAAGCTTGTTCTCCTTCATAGCTGAGAGAAACCTCATTGACAAACTTTTCTCATTTCCAGGAGCATCAAGGTTGAAAACGTTCTTCCTTGTGAGCAGTTCTAGAAGAACAACTCCAAAGCTGTAAACGTCACTCTTATCTGTTAATTCACATGTTTGCATATACTCTGGATCAAGGTAACCCCAAGTCCCTTGGACTAGCGTGACAAGCTGTGACTTGTCTAGTGGAGCTAAGATGGAAGCACCAAAGTCGGAGACTTTTGCCATGAAGTTAACATCGAGGAGGATGTTGGAGGACTTGACATCACCATGGATGATGGGTGGTGAAGCGTAGGAGTGGAGGTAGGCTAGTGCCTCAGCTGATTCATGGGCGATCCGTAGACGAGTAACTAGAGAAATGTGTTGGCCATGGTTGCCATGGATGAGATTGGATAGCGTTCCATTTGGGATAAATTCATATACTAGCATAGGAACTTGTACTTCAAGGCAACATCCTAATAGTTTAACAATGTTTATGTGGTTTATTTAGGATAGGATTAGCATTTCTTTACCAAATTCTTTCTTGTGTTGCTCATCCATTGTCATGCATTTCTTGACAGCTATTTTAGTGTTGTCCTTGAGAAGTCCCTTGTAAACAGTGCCATGACCACCATGGCCAAGAATTTGGTTTTTGTCAAACTTGTTTGTAGCATGCTGCAACTCTGCTTCTGAGAAAATTGTAAATGATTTCCTTTCATTTGAATTCATCTCTTGAAACAGCAGTAGACCACCGTGTAGCTTAAAATATTTCTGCTTGATGTGTTGCAGCTTTCTTCTCTCGCGGATCAAGTACGAACAAGTTGCCATGATCACAAGTATGACAAATCCAACACTTGCCCCTGGTTGCCGAATATAAATTTGTCAGCCAATAACAATACTAGGACAAACGACGACTTGACTTAGAAAAGCAAGCGTTGTAGTACGTACCAATGCACTAATAAGATAATCAATATGTAAATATATATATATTAGCAAAGAATATCTACTGCTAGTTGTAGTACGTACCTACAACAGGCATCACCCAAGCTTGGGACTTCTGAATCTTCTGATCTGGAACACAGACACCCCGAGCCAGCTCATTTTGTCCTTGAGGGCAAGAACATTTGTAACTCCCGATTGTATTTTCACAAATTCCAGCGCATGGATAAGTAGTGTTATCAAGACATTCATTGATATCTGAAACAAAGCAAACTTTCGTGAATATAAGTTCTTATTGTATACTTTGCTGAATAGAGAGAGGGAGAGAGAGAGAGAGACAGAGAGACCTCTGCATCCAAGAAGACCGTCCTTGACGTAAGGATTGCCATCGAACCCCTTGGAGCACTTGCAGCGATAACCTCTCCCATTCGTTGAATTGAGGCATTCGCTATTGTTGCTAACACAAGCATATGAACTCATGTTCGTTTTCGCTTCCTCGCATGTCTCCCATGTAATTATCCAGTCCATCACGGCCGGAACAGTCCCGTTGTAGTCATCCCAGAAGTTTGTTGAGGGAATGTAAGTGGTGCTATAGTTCAAAACTAGAAGTCCAGCCACTCACTTACACAGCCTTTTCCATCACTACCACGTAGCCACAACTGCTGTAGCTGATTTCTGAGGAGTTATAGTCTTTATTGAAGTAAGCCTCAAGATAACCCAGGTCTGGCGGGACATCCACCGAACAACAGCCAGCGCCAGAGCAAGAACCATTTTTTGGTTGATCGGAGCATGTGGACAAGCAACCTATGACATACTGCATAAGTCACAGATGTTAATTTGTATCTATGACGTTAAATTAAATGAGATTATGTAACGATCAGTACTGAGCGCCTAGTATATTAATATAAGCAAAATGTCGTCAAAGCATAAATATGAGGAGATACTTACGGAAACACCTCTCATGTAGGCCATTGTATTGCAACCGATGATGAAAATCTTGTTATCCTCGTATGAGAACCTGAAGGGCATGTAGGTGAAGTTTTGGAAATCCACCCATTCCTTCATTTTGCTCGAGGCCGAGTCATAGCACTACCAAGAGATCCGCATCTTCATCCAGGCTTTGGCATCGCGCACAGAGATTTTCGTCACCTCAAACGACCCCTTGAAAGGCCTCTTGGTGCCGTTGACAGGCTTGCAGATGATGTTGAAGCCATGGTGGATTGCGCAGTGATCGCCGATGCCGAAGGGGAACGGGATGTCGACGTCCCCGCACCTCGTCTGGCAGCCTGGGTGTCCAGCCACGGGGACGTCGGCGGCTACCATCCCGATGGCTGAAACGCAGATCAGAAGAATGGTGGAGGGAAGAGGCTTAGTCATTGCGTGTGTGTGTGGAGACTGGAGGAGACAGGAGAGTGTGTGCTTTGCTGGGGCGTGACGCGGTGTGTGTTAAATAGAGATATCCGCTTTACTGTCCCTGGGCAGCTTGCCCTGCAGTATGTGATTAATAAAAGCTGGTGGTTGATTATTGATCATTCCCGATATGATACTTTCGTCCATGTATATAAATAATTTTACCCTTTTATTTTTTTGGGATTTTGTAATCTTAAGATAGTATTTTATTTTCCCATCTATCAACTTGTGTAATAGTTTATTCTTTACCTATCAACTTTTGTCTTATTTTATCCTTCCACCTATCACCTTTTATACTATGGCATATCCTTTTGCTACTTCTTTAAAAAAAATTTAAATGACATAATTCCTTATAGCTAGGCACACGCACGAGGAATTAAAGTCTGTTGTCATGTACTCTCCATTCTAAAATATATTTTTTTAACAGAAACCACACGAGATTACGCTTTTTCATTAAATATAGCAGGAGAAAAATACAACCCCTAAAGGCAAACATTCTAAAATATATTAAACTAGTATTAGATTTGATATAATTTAATTCTATAAATCTAAACTAGCATGATAGTATCATTATATTTTCTCTCATATAATAGCATATATATTTTCTTATTATATTATTCAAATATATTAAAATAATAACATAATTTTAAATTTTGCAATAACTTTACGAAACTACTAATGTTAATGTGTAATATTCATATAGTATTTTATATATGTGTTAGTTCTTAATTATTTTTAATATCAAATTTTAATTATTTGTAAATTATATATATTCCTACATTGACTCTAGACTCGTCTATTAATATTTCTTTTTTTTAATTTTAAATTTTCTGTAAATTGTATTTCTATATATAGACTCTAGGCTCTTCTTCCAATATTATTTATTTTTATTTCTGATTTTTTATTATTTCTAATTGTATTTCTATGTGGACTCTATACTCATCTTTTAATATTCTTTAATTTTGAATTTTGAATTTCAGTTACTTCTAAATTGTATTCCTATATTAACTTTAAACTCTTCTTCCCATGTTTTTCTTAATTTCAAATTTTAGTTATTTGTAAATTATATTTTTATACGGACTCTAAACTCTACTTTAATTTTATTATGTTTATTTCAAATTTTAGTTAGTTTTAAATTCCTATATGGACTCTATACTCTACTTCTAATATTCCTTATTTTTTAATTCCGAATTTCTTTTTTTTTCTTAATTGTATTTCTATATGGATTCTATACTCTACTTCTAATATTCCTTATTTTTAATTCCGAATTTCTATTATTTCCTAATTGTATTTCTATATGAACTCTATACTCTACTTCTAATATTCCTTATTTTTTATTCCGAATTTCAGTTATTTCCTAATTGTATTTCTATATGGACTCTAGTCTCCTATTCTAATATTCTTTATTTTTAAATTCCGAATTTCAACTATTTCTAAATTTTATTTCTATATGGACTCTAGTATCCTCTTCTAATATTCATTATTTTTTAATTCTGAATTTCAGCTATTTCTAAATTATATTTATATATGGACACTGTTTTTTCTTTTTCTTTGATTAATGTGAGAATTTCTAGACCATGAGAGCGAACGTGGAGACTCATTTTTCTATGCCTTTAATAATATAATAGATAGGTTCTTGTTCAATTTCATACTACTAAAATATGTCTTTTATCCCGATTGCTATATTTTATAATACGTGGCGTCTAAAGGATTCAGGATGGTCCATCAACGAAATACTCGCCCTCGCCCATGCACGCTTTACTCAGTCAGCCGGTCAGCTTAGTATATGTCGCTCTAATTGGCTGGATTAACTCTAGGGTCCCAGGGAGACTTGCCAAGTCAATGCCGCTGTTGTTGAGCTCAGAGCATATCAGAGCAACTAGCTAGCTGGAGTAGCTTCCAAGAGGTACAGTAGCAGTCGGTCCACGATTGTGGAGACTGATGAATGAGTCCAAGTCTTGTGTGACTGAGACAGTGAGACGTGTGATTCCCCCGGAACAAGTTGGAGGTTGGAGTAGACAAGTGTTGCACCAGCTAAAAAGACTATTTTTTGTCTTGCTCGTATTAGGGCCTGATTAGTTTAAAAAAAAATTTTCACGCTGTTATATCGAATATTTGGATACATTTATAGAGTATTAAATGTAAAAAAAAAATAATTACACAGTTCGCCAGGAGATTGCGAGACGAATCTTTCAAGCCTAATTGCACTATAATTTGACAATATGGTACTATATTAAATATTACTAATGACAGAATAATTAGGCTTAACAAATTCGTCTCGCAGTTTCCTGGTGGAATCTATAATTTATTTTGTTATTAGATTACGTTTAATACTTTAAATGTCTGTCCGTATATCTGATGTGACATGTAGGGCAAATTTTTTTTCTAACTAAACAAGCCCTTAATCCTCTGTCTAGCCATCCCGTTGATATATATATTTTTCTAAACTTAAGCCCTTAAACAAGCCCTTAACTCCGGATCCCAAACTTTTTTTTCTATTTTTCTAGAGCAAAGTACACGGCCGGTCCTTAAAGTTGGAACGAGGTGTCACTTAGGTCCATGATCTAGGAAAATCGTCATTCGGGTCCGCGGTCTTGTTTAAGTGAATCATTTAGGTCCAAAGCGCCTTTGATTGGATTGACTGGCTTACGTGACCGTCCACGGTGGCAGCATGTTTGCATTTTAGCCCCCCTCCCATCTTGGCTCCCCCTGTCTCTATCTCATTTCTCTATCTCCACATGTTGTCAGTTGCTGACCACCACGCGTGCATGCATGAGCCACTAGCTGCACCCGCCGAACACCCCGGAGCCGTCGCCTGCACCCGCGTTGTGCGTGTCCTGGGAGAAACCGAGCACGGTCTGAGCTTGTTGTTGCTCCTGCTGTGGCGGTGGCGGCATGCGGAACTCGCCGAGATGGAACCCCACGGCTGCATACTCCGCCGGCATCCCTAGCGGCCCCATCTGAGGCAGAGGAACGTAGCAGCCAATGCTCCTCAGCAACTCCATCGCCGAGAACACGCACCCACGCTGCCCCTGCCACCAACGCCGTTCGCCACCGCCATGTTGCCTCCGGGGTTGCACATGTTGCTACTCTCCAAGCTCGGGAACGCTGTGAACTCCGGCGACTGCAGGGCGCGGCCGTGGTGATGCGGGAACGCCAGGTTGAGGTCCTACGCGCCCTTGTGCATCGACTTCAGGTTCTTAGCCGCCAGCCCCACGGGGACCGAGCTAGACACCGTCGCGGAGGTGGAGGCCGACGCGGCCGCTGATGACACCATGAGGACGACGAACGCTTGTTCTCCCTTACCGTTGCCGCCGTACGCGCCTCCCTCATCGTCGTTGTCGTCCTCGCGGCCGCCGCCACATCTACACCGCCACCCAATCGCCGTTGCAATCGCTAACCCTAGAAATCACACAGGAGGAGCCGAGGAGGATTTGGGGGAGAATGGTTGGATCGTATATGGGAGAGCCAAGATGCGGGGGGCTAAAATGCAAATATGCTATCACCGTGGACGGCCACGTAAGCCAGTCAACCTGGTCAAAGGCGCTTTGGACCTAAATGATTCACTTAAACAAGATCACGGACCCAAATGACGATTTTCCTAGATTATGGACCTAAGTGACACATCGCTCCAACTTTAAGGACCGGCCGTGTACTTTACTCATTTTTCTATAAGTAAATTGCGACGGATGGATATGATTTAGAACAACAACTTGAAATTCGAACTAACTGGTGCAGTAACTTTCTTGGTTTGTGACAGTTTGTGTGGGTTTTTAATCCAAATGAGTGCCACGTCGACAATCCAGTTATTATAGCTAGAGAGTGTGCTCCCATGGGAAAGGAAAAAGTACACCGAAGGTCCCTCAACTTATTATCGGGATAAAAAACGTCCTCGAACCGCAAAACCAGATATGCCCAATTTTAATCGTTCGTCTTATTTAAAAAAACTTTTAAAAAAATTTAAAAACATAAGTCAGTAATGAGTAAAGTATTCTTCATGTTTTATCATCTCATAACAACAAAAATACTAATTATAAAAAAATTTCAAATAATACGAACGATCAAAGTTAGGCAAAAAAAACTTATCGTTGTACTTAAAATAGGACATAAAATAGGGCAGAGGGAATAAGATCTCAGAAAGTGTATATTTGATCATAAATGAAGTATATCCCAAGAATTATGGACGACGACTGACTCCCGGGTCTTTACGTCGAAAAGAAAGAGTGCATATACCTTTTTTTTTTTCAAAATGTTTTTCCTCCATCGTAATCGATCTCCAGCTCTATTAACTACACATAGCAACGGAAGACTTCGAACGACTGACGTAACTTGGCAGTCATGCGTGATAGCAGCATTGATAAGTGAATAAACTTGATCCGTTAAATTTGTGTGGCTGATAGTCTAACTGTACCAATCGGCCACCGTTCACATCACATTGGCCCTGCTTTAATCCAAGAAATTGAGTAAAAACAGGCTGCGTTCACCTGAGAAAACCTGGCCTCGTCCATATCACACAATTTCTCGGCGACCTGGCGAGCGATGTTTATGGGTCTTGGGTACAATTGGGGGGCTTCACAGGGTCGGTCTTCTCTAATGACAGTTCTGGTTCTCTTCGCTCCGCTCAGTATCATGGAAGACTTGACTGTTTCACAGCCCACAGGGTCTTGTAACTTCGAACGGTGAATTCCGCGTGATGCTCCGTTGCGTGCAAAACTACAAAGGTACATTTTCCATTGCGAGCTGTAGCTCTATTATTTTCGGTTAAGATTCAGATTTTACTGTATTATGTGCCTTTCTATTTAGAAGTTACTTTAAAATATCAAATATATTTATCAAGTTTGTAATAATTAAAACTTAGTTAATGACTTTCTCGTTTTGTGCGTGTCAACTTAATTTTTATTTTCATCCGCTTCAAACACAGCTTTTATAATTAAAACACAGCATTGACAACTTAATTTTTACATATCGAATTGCTGAAAATGTCCGGACCAAACGCAGCTTTTGTCAATGCGCAACCGAGTACGAT